TCAGGGTTATTATGAATGGTTGATAATTTGGTCCTGTCATTTTAGCAATGGATTGTTCATTGATTTAGTCCTCTGTTGTCATTTTACTGGGATACTTTTTGCATTTGCCTTTGGTTTTAGTGGGTGCTATTCCTCTTCTCTGTCAAGAGAACATCTTTAAGTATTCTTGGCAGGGCAGGTCTGGAAGAGGCAAATTCTTCTAACTTTTCTTGACTGTGGAAGAATTTTATTTAATTTTCAAAGACAAAAGAAAATTTTGCTGGGTACGTTATCCTGATCCAATTTTTTTTTTTTTTTTTTTTTTTTTTAGAATCTAGAATCTAGAATATGTCAGTCCATTCTCTTCTGGCCTGTGAGAGATCTCTTGTGATTATAATTGGCATTCCTTTATATGTCAATTGGTTGTCTTCAAGTGCTCATTTAAGGATCTTTTCCTTATGTTCAATTGAAGAGAGCTTGATTACAAAGTGTTGTGGTGAAGATCACTTTTAGTCAAGCCTGTTGGGAGTTCTGTGCCCCTCCTGGATCTTGTTTCCCAATTTAATATCTAGATTAAGGAAATTTTCCCTTATCATTTCATTAACTACATTTGTAAACCCAGCTTCCCTTTTCTGTACCTTCTGGGACTCCCATAACTCTTATATTTGGCCTTTAATAGTGTCTTTCAATTCTTGAATACTTTTTTTCGCCTGATCCAACTTTGCTTCCAGCTTTTTGTTTGGTTCCCCCTGATGATGTGAAATATCTTCCAATTCTGAAATTCTTTCCTCTGCTTATTTCATTCAATTTTGGAGACTCTCCACTGTACTTTTAGTTTGCACCACTGTATTCTTCATTTCTGATGTATCAGCTTTCATTTGATAAATTTTCAATGTGAATTATTCCTTAAATTCCTTGAACACCTGCTTTACGTGTTTCTCATTGTTAATTAAAAGTTTTATAACAAGTGCTTTGAATCCTGTGTCCCCAATTTTATCAATGTCTTCCTCAGTTAACTCTGACGTTGGCAATGGGTTTTGTTCCTTTGCAGGGGAGTCATCAGTAATATTCATTGTGCCTTTGTTTCTTCTTTTGCTCTTGGTCATTGTACTTCTGGCTATCAGATTCTTCTCCTTGGGGCTGGTTTCTAAGCTCTTTCACCCATAGGTCTGCCGTTAGATTTTACTTGTTGCAGTTGGTACATGGCTCTTTGTGTGCAGTCACTTGTGTACAGTCACATTTGTTTTTATTGGAAAGGCAGATTTAGAGAGAAAAGGAGAGACGGAGAGGAAGATCTTTCATCCTCTGGTTCACTATCCAACTGGCTATAACTGCCTGACCTGAGATAATCCGAAGCCAGGAATTTCTTCTGGGTCTCCCATGCAGATACAGGGTCCCAAGGTTTTGGGCTGTGTTCGGCTGCTTTCCCAGGCCACAGGTAGGACCTGGATGGGAAGTGCAATAACCAGGACAGAAAACAGTGCCCATAAGGGATCCCTATGCTTACAAGGCAAGCATTTAGCCATGGAGCCATCGGCCTGGCCAATGAAGATATTTTTAATCCCATTTTCTTTGAGTTTTTTTTTTTAATACCCTCATTTGTGAATTTAGGTTATTTTTAGGAGACTTTCAATTCTGGGACTCTATGGTCACAGGGTCCTTAGGAGCACAAATCCTGATCTACATTGTGTATATATAAATATAAATAAATATTTACTTCCGAGTCAAGAACACTAACAGATACTCAAGCATAGCTAGCTTTACCTTATACTTTTTTTTTTTAGATTAACAAAAATAAACTCCTGAAGAATAGGTTGACAAGGACAGGATGGATTTCCAAAATTAACTTTGAAAGACAGATTATCTGGGCATGTGTGGAAACTGAGTAAGCTTTGTGCTCAACTAATTCACTTCAGGAATATCACTTTGTGCTTAGTGCTACTCTCATTAAACTCTTCTAAGTATTAAAATTTGTGTTTTGGAGCTGAGTAGGAATTAATGTTCTGTCTTTTGGCTTATTAGAAGCCATTTAAAATTTATTCAAGAGTGATAAAAATGATCTTTTTACTAAGGTTGAATTTGGCTAAATGTTGAAATTTGTAATGCAATTTTTATTGTTTTTTTATTAGCAATATTATAGCACCTATCTGTAATTCATGAGTACTTTAAGCACCTTATAAAGAAATGACATTTTAAAATAAAACTTCCTTTAATTTTAATTCCCTACAGTGAGGCTAACTTTAGAATAAATTGTGGGGCAATGCTGCTCAAAGCTCCATATTTTTCATCCTGTAGAGAAACGTTTTCAAAAGCATATAAAACAGTTGAAGCACATTTTCATTGCCCCATAAACTATTTACTCACTGCTAAGTAACACTAGGTGATACATGGGAAGTAGATAGAAAAAAATCAGTTTATTAGAAAAGAAACTGTTCTTCCTCTGATTTTCCAGAGAGAACTATGGGACAGCAAGAGGCTGTGAAAGAAAAATCAAACCGTGGCTGGACAAAAACTTTCTCCCCATTCCCCCCAGTACTGGAGAAGTGGATGTAACATCTGTAATATACATAACACTGTATTATCTAACAATCCTCATACCCCCATTTCACATTTGAACACCAAGGAGAAGGTTCACGGAAAAGATGCTTGTATTGCATGAAGCTGCCTACACTAAGCTCTCTTCAACAGACAAGGGTAGAGGGACACACTGGCCTAGATGGTCAGGGACTTCCTGGGCAAAGCTGCTGGAGAATGACTTCAGCTAGTGGACTCACAGTCGGATGTGGGGCAGGGAGCTCCTTAATCTGCCGATTCCGAGAACAGAAAACTGCCAGCCCACAGGTCAGAGTTCAGAGCTAAGTTATCTGGCACAAGTTGGAGGCTGGAGAGTCAGATCAAGAACGTGAAAGACAGGAAGTGAAGTGTAAAGCTGATTGCTTGTAGATGTATGGAATCAGCACAGCGCAGTGGGAATTTAAAAGGCTGGGAAAGGGTTGCGTTGATGCCTAAGAATGTGTAACTATTTAAAGTGCACCAGTGCCAAAGGACAAGATTAAAGCAATAGCTCACTATTTAGTTGTAAAAGGCATTCATGAAGGGCTCAATAAATATGCATTTCTCTTAGGTACTGTGAGCTCCTGTAATAAAGTGTGAGAGTAACTTGAACTATACAAATTCATTTTTCTAGAGTGGGTGTTGAAGCCCGCAATCAAGACACCCACATCCTGAGTTCAATTCTTGATTCTGAATCCTCATTCCTCATTCTGGCATCTTGTCAATGCGGACTCCAGAAGGTCAGGTCTTGGGTAATCAGGTTCCTTTCCACCCGTGTAGGTGGTCTGGGTTCAGGGCACTTCCGGCTTCAGGGCAGCCCAGCCTTGGCAATTGTGGGCATTTGGGGAACGAACAGGTAGACCAGAGTGTCCAATCTACCTCTCTGCCTGTCCCCTGGAGTCTCCTTTTTTTTTTCTTGTCTCTATATAAATGAATATATTTTTGAGAAATAAACGCATTTTCTCAGTCCTTGAAGGTGGAAATTCAAGACCAAGATGCAAGAAAGGTTCATTTCTGGCGAAAAATCTCTACATGGAATGTAGACCAACATCTCTTTTCTCAAAAATGGGAAAGAAAAGGAATGAGAAGGAGTGATTTCTTGCAATCACACTTTGGCTACCTCATGACCTTGTGCAAATCTAGTTATCTTCCAAAGTCCCCAACACCATCATAGTAGGGTTTAGGACTTCAATAAATGAATATTTTGGGTGGTTAGGTGGACAGAGCTCACTTAATGCAACTGTAAACTTTGATCATCTCACAGTCACTGTAAGAATCATACGTCTTGTTCTTATCAAATAACAAATACTTGATTTTGTCTTAAAACATTCAGTGTTAATGGACTGTGTAGATTCCTTTATAATGAATGCTTTATTCTATCTTAATTTTATGTATGATCATTTCCAGAATATAAACTCTGCCTTCATGTAAAAGAGAAGTCTTCAAAAAAGAGGATACATCTTGCGTATTAAATTTACATAATAAAATATAAACCCTCTCTTGAGGTTGGAAACCTCTAGGAAGGCTTTTATTTCCTCATAGTTTTGCCCCTAGAAGCTATACTGTCAACTTACGTTGTATTCTACAATTAACCATAAGTAACTATTTTCTGTCACATTGCATAGATACATATTATTAACAAGGCAATATGACAAAATAATAAGATAATACTCAAGTATTTTCTTGTATATATAAAAAAAAGCCTTGTTCCAGCTCACATCTATTCTGAGCTTTCCTAAGTTCTTCTTGAAACTTACCCAGAATTCCCTAGGTTATGCTTTTCTAAAACTCTGGTGTGTCCGTGGAACATATTTTATAAATTCACTGCAAGACAATATTTGATATCATAAAAGATCTTATGAACAAAACCAGGCAAATATACCACAATCCACAATACCTGGAGACCTGAAGCTTAAGTAGTCTAACCTCCTTAATTTTCATATCAATTTCCCTTGTAATATCAGAATCATCTATACAGAAGCTGGTTATCTGAAGTCAGGTGGAAATTAAGTACGCCTGGCAGGCTGGGACAATTTTATCCTGAAGTAAGCAGAGTGTGTGACAACTCTGCTTTTGGTGGTGTTTTGCAGCGACTTTCCTGCTATTTTTTCCCCTTGAGTTTCTTTCAAGCTGAGTTTCTGCAAGTTAATTTTTATTAAAAAACATTTTATCTGACTTGTTTCATCTCAACGTGTCTATTTAGAAGTTCTAAGACTGAGAGGTGAATAGTCTCCCTTGTAAGGGTTTTTATTAGCGTTGGACTGTTAATATGGGAATGAAGATAAGAATCATAATTACTGTATTATCAATTTTTTTTCTGACATGAGCAATGTTGGAGTCTGGTAGCTTTTCCCTCTAAGGCTCAAAGCTGAAATACACCTGCCTACTTCCAGCAGAGCAACTGTGTGCACTTAAGTTTTCGTATTATATTTATCGATGCTACCATGTTTTATTTTGTTCCCTTTTAGTGCCCTCTAAACCAAGACCCCACAGCGACGAATATTCTAAGAAGATTCCTCCTCCGAAGCCCAAACGGAACCCCAACACTCAGCTGAGCACATCCTTCGACGAAACCTACATCAGGAAGCACGGGCCACGGAGGACGTCGCTGCCACGGGACGCCTCCCTCTCCCAGGTGAGCACCCCCTCCGGAGAGCCCGAGGAGGAGCCAGTGTACATCGAGATGGTGGGCAACATCCTCAGAGACTTCCGCAAGGACGACGACGACCAGAGCGAGGCCGTCTATGAGGAGATGAAGTACCCCATTTTTGACGACCTGGGCCAAGATTCCAAGTGCGACTTTGACCATCACAGTTGTTCGTCGCAGTGTGCTACACCCACGGTGCCTGATTTGGACTTCGCCAAGTCCTCAGTGCCATGCACGCCCAAGGGTTTGCTCTGTGACATCCCCCCGCCCTTCCCCAACCTGCTGTCGCACAGGCCCCCGCTGCTGGTGTTCCCTCCGGCCCCCGCGCACTGCTCCCCCAACTCGGATGAGTCCCCCCTCACGCCCCTGGAGGTCACCAAGCTCCCGGTGTTGGAAAACGTGTCTTACCTGAAACAACAGGCAGGGGCGTCGCCGTCCTCCCTGCCACCGCACCCCTCGGGCCACCCGAAACAGGACAAAGATGCGGGCACAGCCCTGGGACCAGCTTCTGTGCTCTCCTCATCCCCTCCGCCCCCGTCCACGCTCTACCGAACGCAGTCTCCCCACGGCTACCCCAAAAGTCACTCCGCCTCGCCCTCGCCGGTGAGCATGGGCAGGTCCCTGACCCCGCTCAGCCTCAAGCGGCCGCCGCCCTACGACGCTGTGCATGCGGGCAGCCTCTCCAGGAGCTCGCCCTCAGTGCCTCACTCGACCCCCAGGCCGGTGTCACAGGACGGCGCCAAGATGGTGAGCGCGGCCATGAGCGCGCACGGGGCGGCTGCAGGTGGCTCGCGCTCACGAACCCCCACGAGCCCTCTGGAGGAGCTCACCAGCCTCTTCACCTCGGGACGCAGCTTGCTGAGGAAGTCGTCCAGCGGCCGACGCTCCAAGGAGCCCGCGGAGAGTAAGTGCCCGCGCGGGGGTGGGCCACAGGGCAGCCACGAACCCAGGCACTTTTTGCCTTTGGGGTTAGCACATCCAAGTGCAAATTCTGCTGCTTTGCCATGTTCCACTAACTAGTGTATTCTGAATGAGAACCGCGCGAACCGGGAGAACTAGGTACGGCATACTGCACAGTTCTGAAGACAGAGCATCTCATTAAAAATAAAGAACTATACTATAGTAATAATATAGGGGGACTCAGTGGAGGGGGGAGGGGATTTGGGAGAGGGTAAGGGAAATGGCAGGGCCTATGGAACCATACCATAAAAGGATAATAATACTAGTCATAATTTTTAAAAGAATAATATATACATAAGATTGAATTTTTAAAAAGCTGATCAAATCCAAGAACACATCAGAAAGATCATTCACCCAGTTTAAGTGTGAATGCAGGATGGGTCAACATATGCAAATACACACAGGTGATAATTCACATTAACAAATCAAAGAATAAAACCACATAATTACCTCCCTCCCCAATAAATGCAGAGAAAACATTTGCTACAACATCATTTCATGATAAAAACCTTAAGTAAACTGGGTTTAGAAGAATCACTGCTCAACACGATCAAGGCAGTTTATGACTAATCCACAGCCAGCATCACACTGAACAAGGAAAGTCGGGAGAATTTCCGATAAGATCCTCAGCCAAGCAGGGATGCCCACTTTCATCACAGGTGTTCAATGGAGTTCTGCACGTTTTAGTCAACCATTAGACAAGAAAGAGACTTCGAAGGGATACAAACTGGAAAAGAGGAAGTCACATTATTTCTGTTTGCAGATTACATGAGCCTATATACAGGGAAACCAAAAGACCACACTAAGAGACTACTGGAACTCAAAGGGAGTTTGGTAAAGTTACAGGATATAAAACCAATACTCAAAAGCAACAGCCTTTGTATATACGAATAGTGTCATGGCTGAGACAGAACCTCTGTGTATCTTTACTTCCTGGTGTGCTAGTCTCCATCATACAGTTCTTCTGTGAGAAAATGTGTAAATACATGTTTACCTATGTATCTATTTGTAACCGAATAGAACTTAGTGCTTGTTAAAAGCATACAAAAAGATTCCCTACACCATTCTTAACGTTTCTGTAAGTTTCCCTTTCAAAATTCGTCATCATTCACGTGTTATTTTATGGTATTCTTTTTAAAATATTTGATTTACTTTTATTGGAAAGACAGATGCACAGAAATAAGGAGAGTGAGAGAAAGATCATTCCCCAAGTGGCCACAACTACCGGAGCTGAGCTGATCCAAAGCCACGAGCCAGGAGCTTCTTCCAGGTCTCCCACACAGGTGCAGGGTCCCAAGGCACTGGGCCATCCACCATTGCTTTCCTAGCCAACAAGCAGGGAGCTGGATGGGATAGAGCAGTAGGGACATGAACCGGCACCCATATGGGATCTCAGTGCTTGCAAGGTGAGAACTTTAGCCACTAGGCCTCTGCGCCAGGCCTATGTGATGTTCATTATAGATCCATCTACATAAAACTAATTGGAAAAATCACATGGTGTTGAATATTATGCTTACCATTGAATACCTAAACCTTAGAAATTTTTCTCTCTGAATGGTTGGCCCTCTTGTTAAAGTCAATTCAATTCAGTAGGATGTGTTCTTGTCAAAACGTATTTGGACTCTTTTTAACTATGTCCATTTCGTTGATCTCACGACTTTTCCTAATTTGCAAATTCTTAGCACCTATGGTCATAATTAATCATTTATGTCTCAAAGGACCCGCCAATGGTTTTGTTGTTGGTTCATGCTCAGAGTGAGGAACAAACACTCCTCCATAACTTTTGATGATGAAGACAATCGCATTCTTAGATTATTCATAGTCACTGAATCATTCTGTTTTTTTCCTCCAATCACACAGATTTGTACACACTTTAGCTCTGAAGTCACTCTTCTCAAAATATTTTGTTTACACAAACAAAATGGAATAGCTTTTAATATATTAGCAAGCCTAGAGTTACATAGATACATACAATTATTTTTAAATTTTAATTTATTTGTTTAAAAAATTTTGTTACATAGATTAAGGGTTTGCAGATGCACTCAGATTTGTGGGTGAGATGAAAAGGAATGGGAAAAGCCTGCACCTTCCCGCCTGTGCCCACCAGGGCTAGAGTGGGAGAGATGCTGTGCCACTCGTTGCAGCTGAATCACATCAGTGCCAAGAGACACAGATAGTGCCCTGATTCTGCTCCAGGGACCCTGATGCTGGGGAGAATGTCCTGAGGATGTTACATGCGTAGTGTCGACTGTTCTGAGATGGTGTTGGCCTCCATATGCCACTCCCATACTTCAATGTCTACTTTGGTATGCCCACAGGCTTAGATGATTGGTGGAGAAAGTAATTGGACTATGTATTGTTCATCCTGCCCCTTTGGTAAGGTACTCAGGTACTCTGTTGAATCCGAGAGGTTTGCTCTCCTGTCTTTCACGTGCATTCCAGTATGTTGTCATTCTTTACGTGGAGTCAGCAACAGGGGTGGAACAGTCCGGCTTCCTGCTGGTGCACACTTGCTGGAAGGCAACAAGTGATGGCTCAGCTCTTTAATCCCTGCCGTACAGGTGAGAATCCTGGCAGGAGTTCTGGACTCCTGGGTTTGGCCTGAGTATTTGGAGTATTTGAGGAATGAAGCTGTAGACAGGAGCTCTCCCTTGCCAGCTCTCTCTCATGTCACCATGTCTTTCAAATAATTGAAAGTAAACGATTAAGTGTTAACAATTGATGGGAAATATTTAACAAAAATGTTTTAATTGGAAAATACTTAATGGTTAGTGAGAAGTTAATAGAGGTTTCATTGTAGAATTGGTGATGTGATTGAATTTCCTCCCCACCTCTTAGTTATTTAGAGGATCTTTAACAGCCCCAACTAACAGCCATGCTAATTAGTACACGTAAAAGAAATGATTAGCTAATGAAGTTAGTTTAAGAAAAGTCAATGTGATGTATTCTGAGTCCAAGTGTGTGTTTCAGACTTCTCCGTGGGATTGCAAAGTGAGCTTTCTAAAACAAAGCTTGTGACTAGAAAATGGATCCAGGGCTCTTAGTAGTTTTTAGTTAGTGAGGAAAGATTGGATTTCTTCCCTTGTGCTATTAACCAGGGATCAATTCTTCAGAGAAAAGTCATGCCCTGAATTGCATTAACCTTGATACTTTGCATGCATGTGAGTGGGAAAGAAAACACAAATCATACAAATAAATAATCAAATTGCTATTTACTCTGGACTCCAGAGAAAAATGGGAAGACATATATGCTTCTATAATCACAGGGATGTTCAGAATCTCTATGTAAAGCTGAAAGTGGATCAGAATTCTTAACTGAGAGTTAACTGCTCATTGCCATCACACTCTGATCCTTCACTCTCCTTTTTTCTTACCAAGCAGGATTTTGTGGACATCAGCTAATATTTTAGAAATAGAATAATAGATGAGAAATAGTAAAAGTGCATGCTCCTTTCATTTTGTTTAACTGTCAAGAAATCAGGAATCAAATTAAGACTGTCTAAATTTCAACCCCTTTTTGCTTTACTAGAAAAGCCAGTTTTAATACTATTCTGGTATTGAACTCTTTAAGGAAGCATTTTTTTTCTGATTATTGATAAATTTTGAAGCTTTTAGTCATAATTAAATAAGAACATTTAATAGCCTCTGGACTACAAATACAATCTTTCCTTTGCTTAATTGTTATTAACACTTTTTCTAAAATCTGTCAAAAATGAGTCACATTAACATGATAACCTTAGCAGACAAATGTTGAAATTTTTTCAGTTCATAAGAGAAAGTAGGCCAAATACAAGTAATTTTTTTTTGAGAACTTTGGAAACTCAAATGACAATACTCTCTTCTAACTATCATTTTGTTTTCCTCTAACTTATTCTAATTTTATACATGTGTTATGACTTTGAACCGTTAGAATACCTAAGTAATGAATAGAACATTTTGTTTGAATTTATCAGGTGCTATATATCATGGAAAATAATGTTTAAGACAAAAAAAAATATGCTTGCTTCTCCTGTCTTTGTGCAGTGTGTGGCACAGCAGAAAAAATGCAACTGGGTGGTTAGAAAGAATCGCAATTGCATTTGGCTTATAGCCCTGGGCCTGGAGCCGAGGGTTGGCAGGTGTGATGGCGGGTGAAAGAACCGAGGTATCTCAGTTTGCTCTTCTAACATACACAGTCTCAGAATAAGTAACGCACTTCTACGTGAACATGAATACATGAAGTAGGGCAGAAGCCTCAAGGCAACCACCTCTTGTGAGGCTGTTCTCCCAGTGATGTTGACTTGGGAACTATGTTTCAAACATGTTGATTTTTCAGAATGCCTTTAAACCATTACATTCCAAATAACATAAGTATTTTAAAAGAAGAGCTTAGCCTATATGTAATGCAAATGATGTAAGTATATATTCCTATGGAAAAATGCAAAGCATAGTGAAAAATACTATTAAGTCTTACAACATATTTGAGAGAGAAAATAAGATGAAGAAGTTGTAAGTATAACAAAAATGCAACTTTTAAGAACAAAAAGAAGCACAGAGCAGCAAAGAGAAGGAACTAGTGAATACACAAAGACAGGAACAGGTGCAACAGAAGAGCACATAGAGGATCACTGGGATGTGTACCCAAGTGTGATGCCAACACAGGAAACCAAAGAGGAAGGATCAGAGCAGGGAGGAAAAAAATACCCAGGCCCATTTGCCTGGCACTGCTGTTTTTTAAATGATTATTTGCTTTTATCTGAAAGGCAGATTTACATACACACTGATTTTCCATCTACTGATTCCTTTCTCAAAAGACCACAAGAGGCCCAGTGCGGTGGCGCAGTGGTTAAGGTCCTCGCCTTGCACGCCCGGGATCCCACATGGGCGCTGGTTTTAATCCCGGCGGCCCCGCTTCCCTTCCAGCTCTCTGCCTGTGGCCCTGGAAAACAGTCCAGGATGGCCCAA